TTTGCAAGTACTAAAAGGCCAGATTACTAAACTATGTGAAGCCGAGTTTTTTTCCTAGCTTTACACGACTTTCTGTGTGTCTGGTGTTGCGCTGCCTTAGTCCCGTAGTTGCAACCTCAATTAAGGGTTTAACGACATCGTTTCCAATAAGGAATCAAGTGACATGGTAATGGTTAGGTAATTCCAAAACAGGAAGTGCTTTCCTAAAGCATACTTCCGAACCTGGATATGATATTGACGATAAATTGGCACTCACAAAATTATTTTAAAGTGGTAATCTACCTAAAAAAAGACAAAATTTAGAAAGATTTATTTTAGCGAGCTCCTTAGAAAAAAGCTGGGGGGTGAAAACTAACAGCGATTATTTTGCTAGTAATTCACACACAACATTTGAATTGACCAATCCAGGTGTAGGTTAATCGACCTCGAACAACACCAATCAGATTCCAGATGCAGAATTGACTGAATTTTCTCTCAGCTTGTTGACTAATCCAAAATGAGGAAATAAAACAGCGGTAAACTGTTGTGAAATAAATTATCCAGAAACATATTCTGGAAAAGATTTTTGTTTAAAGCAAAAATTATTCAACGTAACGTTTCCAAGAGGGCTTAAATAAATTTCATCAGTTTAATAAATTATTTAACAGACAGTCTGCAAATGAGGTCCAGGTACTGAAGCATATGAATTTACTTTATAGGCAAAGATTTCTACTTCTTTTGACAATTCCCCGGGCTAAAATTCCACCACAGGATGTTTTAAGATTAATTTTTGCCATTAACATAAGGACATGGTCTTTTGACAGGCAACTATTCATGTAATAAGGCAAAGTAGTGTAGAGGAACGTACCGCACGGGTGCACAGAAGAGGTGGGAGTCAACGTCGCAATCGGAAGCCCAAGTACCAAAATGTTAAAAAATAAGTGAAATACCAAATCACTATTTTCACATCTTTTAAGGATGAGTCTAAGTATTCTCAAAATTTTGTGAAGCTGCGCTCTTGCCCAGCGTTTCGTTTCTAAAAAGCATATTAATTGTTTTTTATTTTAATATTTTGCGCAAAATTTTAGGTTTAATTTTACACATTTTTTAACATAATCTGATCACCGATTGCAGTTACCATACAAATGTAGCACCTAGGCAATATATATATATATACATTGTTGACCTACAGAAGAGCTTGGGGTCAGTGGCATACCCAGAGGTCAGGCCTTCCGGTGGAGGTACAATGGCGGAACCCCTTGGTGCCCTGTCACCAGAACCGAGATTTAAAGCAAACAATTACAGTTTTACGCAGTTGTGATAAATATGTACATTTTTTCAAATTTAGGACTTTCCAACCAATCAGTTTTTGGAATAAATATTTACCAATAAGCAATATAAATTGTCAAGAAGCTATTTACCTATCATTTTCAAGTTGAAAATCCAGATCCAGGAAAAAGCCTTGAAGACTCATTACTTATCGTACTTCTAGCTGCTGGAACGAAAAGTAGATAAGAAACAGTATCCAACCAATTTTAACTGCTTTTAAACTGCATTTTAAAATGGAATATACTTAGTCTTTCGTCTTCTTGCAATCCTTAACACTGTCATCCTTCGGTTTTCGTGAACCCATTTCTACATTCTTTCTTCGTTAGCCGAGGATCTTCTCGTTAAGTGATGTCGGGAACATTCTGCTGCTGTCACACCAGTAATGGGGCCTTTTTCGAAAGCTCCAACCCAGTTATAGACACCTTGTTCAAGGGGGAACCCCATCCCCGTACTGTACACACAGATTGAGGGAGATTTGTGCTGCCGATGCTTATTCAGCCATCAAAAATAGAGGAAGGCTAGAAGCTGCTACTATTTGGTGTAGTGTAACAGGCCTTCTAGTCAACTTTACCCCATTGTAGCAATATTAGCCCTAAAATGATGATGGTTAGCTCACCAGCTAGAAAAATGCGATCAAATGAATCAGAGACAAGACTCTCGGCCTCCTTCCGCCTTTGCTGTGTTCAGTGCAAGTTTAAAGCACAGCACTTATAAATCCCCCAATCTTTCATTCACTTTTGTCCAAAAAAATGTTGAAGAAACCGACATATTGTGCTTACATCGGTTTTATTTCCTAGCTTCAACCTGTCTAAATACAGCACGACTTATTGCAGCTTATTACTATACCGATGTGCTGCAAGAGTGAAGTAAAAACCAATGCGTCACGTACATGTGACGCTAGTATTGAACGAATTGAAATGCCTATATACATTGAAGCGGTAACTAAGTTACAGACCCGCATAGCAACAATCCCGTTTTGTAAATTCCACCAATATAAACAGTGTCGGAGTTGTCCGTGAAGCTATCCTTGCATTTATGCATCTTGATGGAGATTTATAATAAAGCTGCGGAAGATTTGATGCGGCGGTAACACTGACAACATGGACGGAACGCCATGACACTGGATGGGCGTCGTTAAATACTCAACTCCAACAGCTGTCATTAATTTAGGCTTGGCACTCTGGCAGTAAATGCATTGCCTTCCACACCAAAGAGACTCGGAGCAGTGACAGGATTTAAAAGAAATTAACACTTATTATTTGTAATGAATTTTATTTAAAATGCCGGCCATTAAAAATGATGTACAATTAAACAACTAAGGGATTATGGGATTACCTAGAGGTGAATAAAATTTTATTACCCCCTTATTATATGGATCATGCGGGTGTTAAAAGACACCCCTTCCTCACCATGGTCACCTCGGGAATATTATTGGAAGAAATTTTATTTCAAATTTGTTTCACTCTTTTCCATACCTTATGTTTTCAGAATAGAAAGGAAAACCTCCAAATAAACCCACTTTTTACGAAAGGTTTCAATGCAAGTATGCTTTTATATAACAAAGTGAAAGTGGGTATTTTAAAAATGAGACGTATGTCAAAAGCAGAGTCCGGAGACTTTCCTGAGGACGAAAGAGGACAAAATGCTAGAGCAGAATATGCAATGTTGACGTACATAAGGGGGCCTGGACAATAGGAATGGGCTGGAGGCCATGCCAACCAGCGGAAGCACAAAACGGAGCCTTAAGTCTTTGAAACTATTAAGAAGACTCGAGCAAATAATCAAAGGAACGTACTGAAACACTTTGCCAACTACTAGTACACTACCTACCACCCTACACCTCTAAGACATTCACCACCTCA